AGGCTTCAAAGTCTGCAAAGGCACCAGTGAAACTCTAAAATGGCTGTTAATTTTCTGCAGCATTGGAAACATAGCTGATTATTATACATATGTGTCTTATGCTTTAACTTAGAACGAAAAAAACCCCCATCCAGGCATGTCAAATATAGTCAAACCTAACCACTGACGAAAGGCTGATGTCTAATGGTTGCACAGTCAATGTGACATCATCACATGACCGGCATGATTGCATTTACTCCATTAAGGTAGGTATTCTCATTCATTTACTACCCAAGCCCTCTCTTCCACTCATCTCTACCACCACCAACACTCTATGATGGTTTCCATGGTCACGGTGCAACAATTATCAAAGAGCTTAAAGGAAATGGCTTCAACCACAACACATCTCTGAAACTACTGGAGACACAGAGCTGCCTCTCTCGGTTTTCTATCATGTTTAGCTCGAATGATGTCAAAGTTGCAACGGAAGAAATTATGTAAACAGATTAAGACAAATCAAGGTTCAGATGACAGCACAGACTTAACATTCTTGTTTTGACTTACTGATAGAACTATATCTCCATATTTATTTAGTTTAAAATAAGCTAGCTGTATGGAGGTAATTTGCTGCTGACATACAACAATTTGTATTCATATATGACATTTAAATGTCATGTTCTGTCTAGCAGCCACCAAACCTGTCTGAACTTGTTTCATTTGAATGTCATTTTCCTAATTCAGAAGATAAAACATAGACAAGATTGTTAACACCACTAACATATAGAATAGCCTTTTATTCTCATTGTACAACGAAATTGTGACTATCGCAAAGCAAGAGAACAAACATACTAAAACTATTTGGACAGTTATGGGAGCAGAGCTGGGCTATAATGGGCTCCATAGCCATGTTGGAAATCTGATATGTGGTTGAAAAAACAGTTGACATATCTGAAAAGTTCCCACTGCGAGGTCACCACTCCCAAACGTTCCTGTCAGGTCTCAATTGAAACGAATGATACTTTATAACCCCTCTCATGCACACCGACTAAATGTTAGTTCAGCTTTAGCTGGACAGGGATGAAGAAGCTTCTCCTATTTTGAGAGATGATAAATGTAGCATAGAAGGGCTGTTTCTAAAACCCACAGAGTAAAGCAGGGGACAAAAATAATCCCCTAGAAATTACACCATAGAAATGCTGAGAGCAGCACCGTGTGAGGGTGCTGCAAGCGTTATGATTGAGAAAGTAGGAAGTAAACGAGAAAGGAGTGATCCCTCACCATTATTTAACCCATGCAAAACTCTCTAACAGAAAATGCAAAACCAGATATTTCAGATAAAAGAAACATGCACGAGCGACTGTTTGACCACACTACGAAAGTCCCCCTCTAACGTAGACATGCAATTGCCGTAAAACCCATGATCTGGTGGCTTCACTGCTTGCTGGAGTTTCTTATTATTGGAAATCTAAAAAGCCACGCTGTTCTTTGGGTCTCTTGGGTAAAGACGGATTCCCACACAACAGCAATAAGTGAATTATGCTTTCAAATGCAATTTATATCCAGCAGAACTACAACGCCCAATTGTCCGCCAATTCTGCGAGGTATAACTTTCCACCTTCTTTAAGCAGTCCTGCTGCATCATGTTTTAATTGAATTGCACCTTTTAGAAGCTGCATTATGAAAAAAATGACTAAAACAAATCAGAGAGACCTGCAATTTACATATCACCATGCCCAAAGTCATTAGATTTAAAAAAAACAAATGCTGTGCAGCCCAAAGTAAAATATCAGTAAGAAAATTAGGGCATAAGCGTTCATCCAAAATAAAATAAAAAGCAAATGCTTTTATTTTGGCAGAGAGCTGAAAAGTTTAAGATAAAACTATGATGGTGCAGAGCCGCTGTGGTCACAGAAGTGTTTTTAGAAACTCAAAACAACGACCATTCCTTGGAATGTTTGCCTACTGCTGCTTGACAAGCGCAGCAGCAGTGCTACACCTCCTTCTCTGCTCCTTTCCCAAGCACTACCATTTACGTGTTTATGAGAAAGACCGTTCTGATCGTTGGCCAAGTCATGCCTGGCAGCACCCAACCCTGGCATGATAACCCTATCGGATGAGAAGACCCAGGAAGATGATACGGGCATAATGGGGGTGAAAATCAGCCTGCAATGGACTGAAACACACTTCCTAATGCATAATAAAGCATTCATTCTCTTGTCACGAGGAAAGCCTTTGCGAGAGTGGGGGTGAGTTGGAGTTAAAAAGTACAGAGAATACTGTATTCTCCTTCTGTCAGTGGGCTGGATGGGGAAATTAGGGTTAGAAGGGGTGAAATTTTGTGTCTTTGTCTATACATTTAGCTTTTTAGTTGCATTAGGAGTTAAGCTGGGTTAAGGAGGCAGTCTTCAATGACAGCAGAAGATCGTAGATTAACAGGCTGCCAGACAAGTTCGGGCGGTAAATGTAAGAAATGCTACTGTCTTGCTAGAATACTGCAGTATAATGCAAGCCACTTATGGAAGGGAAAAAAGCCCATGTAGGGGAGAGATACCAGCAAAAAACTCTTATCCTGTGTCATGACCCTTAGATTTTAAATTTTTTTAAAAATTAAGAAACCCCCCAAGCAGTAAACCAGCACTTATATGGATCAGGATGGTGTAATAGCTGGCAACAAATACAACAACATCAACGGTGTGGGAGCAGACTTATCTATTTGTTATACTACCTGTCTATGGTTGTGAAGCTGTAGGTAGGCGTGCTTATCTTTTTTCTGGTCTAACGTATACAAAACACAAATTTGCATGGCATGAGGTAGAGCTGAGCCACAATGAAGTTGTGTGCTTGCGTAATAAAGTATACCATGCAGAAAAAAGAAAACATTTCACCTTATCTGGGGCAAATTTAGCAAACTTTTCAAGTTTTTGTTTACGTGATTTTATGCATGTAATCCTTAGGACCCATCCACTACTGATGTAAAAGTAATGGATATCTCCCCATATATTTAGGTAGCTTCAGAAACTGTCCCAGTAACTGTCAGGAGGTTTTGCTGTTAAGGAAAAAAAGGCTTACTTGTAGATGGCCTTTGGTCAGACCACAAAAAAAAAGAAAGAAAGAAAGAAGAAGAAGTCTGGTCGCTGTGGTCAGAAATCCCTTAAGGAAACAAATGGGAATCAGTCGAGGATGCTTGTAGTCCATACCTGAAAATGTTCTGGATAGAAACTACCATCAAGATTGTGTATTATAACAGAAGTGATAACATAAAGGCATTTTTAAAGTATGTCAATAATGATAACTGAGAACAGGGTTTACAGCATAACTTGAGGCTTTGATATCCAGAAATCCTGAGTGCACATTGTACACATAGACTTTTCTTTTATTCTACAGCTTAAGCCACAGCTGAAGAATGAATTGCCAAATGACTGCCTCAAAGCCAGTGTTTACACAAAAAAATGTCACAGAGCACAGTCTAAACCAAACATAGTATGAGGTTGACTACTCAGGTCATTTTAGTTCCCCTTCAGCCAAGAATGCCAACTTGGAGTTATTAAGGAAATCATAGCGATTGCAGAGATTCCATATCAGGCTTAACCTTACTTGGTGCAACAACAAATCAGTTCTGATTAGAGTCAGCTGTTTGCTCATTAAACAATCACGGCATAAGAGCTCAGAAGATCTGGCAGCTGGGAAAGAATGTCACTCAGTGGCTGACTGTTAGCAATAACTTAGCCAAGGAAGGAGCTTGTAGCAACATAAAAGCAGCTTGTTTCTTTACAGTGTCAAATAAATAAAGACCATGAGCAACTTTGGAATGAAACTGACTTCTTACACATTTTGCAATGTGTTTCATGAAGGTTGCGATCAAGATTCAAAAATGTCCTCTACCATTATTTCACATTTTTAACATTCAGAGAAACGTGCCAATCTAGTAGAACCGCTTTTGGCACGGGCCTTAAAAAATGTGAAATGCACTCACCACACATTGCGCTGTTCTAAATGTGAAATGCAGCTACAGTTTATACCTAAAACAAAGACAAACTCCTTACAGTTCTAGTGTTCTGCTCTAGTTTCTTTGGCTATTTATCATTGTCACATCTGTTTTTCAGTTCTTTTTTCCCTGCACAGCCTGAAAATAATAAGGGTGCTCTCGGATCTTATTTGCACCATGAGGGGGGCATGTGTGAATCGACCTTGTTACGACTGGGTTGACTTTAAAGTGTCTGGTGTTGAGCTAATTTAAGTGATGTTTTACTACTATGAAACTGTGCAGTAAAATCTGTTTCAAACGTACAAATTAAAACAATTCAACTTTTGATAAGGGGGAGGGAGCAAACAAATAAACTACAAGCCTTATTAAAGGGATAAACACTTCAACGTGGCTTTGAAGCTTCTAGTGGATTTTCCCTGAACAAAACGTGGTACAATGTAATGCCGCACATATTCAATCCATGTATTCAGGCTGACAAAAGCAGATTATCTGCATTTTGAAGATGTAATGCCTCTTCTTGGATCTGTGTGAACCAATATGACAAAACAAGCACTGACTGGTGTTTGTTGGTTGCATGTGACAGCTGACATGCATCCAGGAATAGAAGCCCTGGAGTGACTCAAGGCGATCAGATGCTCACCCACAAGTACGCATGATGGACAAGGCACAGTAATATAAGAAGAACTTCCCATGAAAAAAAAAGAAAACGAATTGCACACATATGACAAAACCTCTGTGGCCTTTTCACTTCACAGGTCAGACTGGTCGGCTAACAGCAGCACAGCGTGAGGACATGACATGACGCGCTGAGCGCACAACCTACAACACGCTGACCATTTGAGAGCACAAAGCTGTAACATTTTGTGTCAGGTATTATACTGCTTCTGCAGAGATGTAATCCAAGTACACAAATGTGTTTTATATCACACGGCAGATATAAACTAACAGTAATCACTTCTGTATGCCTGGGATTGACAGATAACAAATCAAGCAGCTCAAATTCTAGACGTCATGAACAGAAAACTGCAGTCCTTACCTTTAACGAGTCAAAGCAGGCGATCACTCTCCCATTCTCCACCTGGCAGCTTTTGGGTGGGTGGGCAAATTTGCATTCTTCATCGCTGCGTGAACAAGTCCCACGTTGAAACTGCCGGCACACTTCCAGGGTCAGCCATTTTGTGTCCCGTATGGAGGCAATGTTTAGAGCCATGTCAACAGCGCTGGCTGTAGAGCCGGGTTGCAGCAGAGCCACTAGGTTTAATGTGGAGGTTATCCTCTGAAGAGGAGCACTCCAGTTAAAAAAAAAGAAACAAAAACAAAAATATCCCCAAAAAACAAAAGAACTAAGAAGCAGCAGAACGTGTAGCTATAAATGATCTGCTTCAGGTCAGTGGATCAGGCTTGTCCTTGCAGACAGGAACGTGGAGGTAATGGACTGGCAAAGTCTCTGTGACCTGAACATGGGACTACACTATTGCGCTATTGTGGAGTTTCTCAGTCAAACAGCTAGTTGTTTATCAATCAGTAAGTCTCAGGTGCGAACGTCTGGAAAGGCAGAGGGGGCATGCTCAGAGAAAAGCTTTAGTCGATGTACCCGTGTCCCCAAAATGTCCTCTGCGTGAGTGATGATATCTTTGCAAGGGGTGGATATCAGAGTTATTTTGAGGTACAATGGCACAGTTCAGGATAATACAAAGTTTGTGGCTTTTTATTGTTACCCTCTCTCTGAGCTTTGGCACGTTGGCCAGCTATGCAGCAGCTCCAGCAGCTCTTTACTTTTCCTTCACACAGATCACAGGTGAGGACAAATCAAGGGTCAGCGATCCTCACAGCCGAGCCGTGTGGCGTCACGATCGCAGAGGGCAAAAAAAAAAAATCTGGAGTTCTTCAGAAACACTCAGCGATCTTCAAGTAGGGATGCTGTCTCACAAGGCACTTTCTGTCAGTGATCTAAAAGGGAGAAGTGAAAGAGAGAAAAGTAGAGACAAGAGACAAACAGAGTGAGGCTATTTTCACAGTGAGAAAATGGCTCGCTAATTATGACGGGAAACAATTTATCTAACAGGCTTCAGCAGGCGTTAACGGTGTTTGTTTTATGCGTGTCAATCTGAATTTGTGTGTGTACTGCCCCAGAGGAGTGCTAGCTCCAAAGGGGACAGGCCTGATAAACCAGAAAAAAAGGCAGTTAAAAGGTTATTCAGAAGCCATTTGAGTCTAAGTCCCACAGTCGCCGCTGTCCGCCTTTGTACGGGGTGACTGCAAGCCCAGTGGCTTTCCAACATATTGCATACAAAGTGGGGAATGGCAAAAGCCACTGTGCTATGAGACAGTGGACAAGAACGCAGAGTCAGAGCAGAGATAGAAAAAAGCCCCAGGGTCCAACCCGCCCTGTAGAGCCATGCACGGAGGGACGAGTTCAGCCAATAGAAAACCGCGCAGAGCAGCACTATTCCGGGCAGTCGTCCAGCAGCCGGAGAGGGACCGAGACAGATGCATATGCCAGTGCCAGACACGATTATGACGCTTCCCAGTGTCCGGCAATATTCACTGGTCTCCCACCATCCAAATTAGGTACTGGCTCATTGACGGCAGCCTGTCAATTTACATTCATTGGGGGGAGACGTGCGTCGGTGCGTCTGTGCTGCCTGTCTCATCCTGCAAAGACGCTGGTCCCTGTGTTTGGCTGTTGTCTAGGGACTGAGGAGGGACAATTGGTAGAGCAACAATATGAGGAAGCGACCTTTAGTTTGAGCATATGAAATCCATTACGGAGCTACTGCGCAAGGAGCTCTTTCATTGGCACATCTGGAAATATTTTTCTGCTAAATGCAGGCGGGAAAGGGGCTGAGGACACAGACTGAGGGAGGAGAAAGAGAAGGACTGTAAAAATATATAGAGTTCTGGTTAACAGATTACCCCACTGGAAAACATCTTGACCAATCTCACATGGCATATGAAAGGCTACACTTGTTAATGAAGGTTTGTGGGGAATTGTACACCCGTGTTCGCAGGGTTTACTGAACGAGAAATCCTTAAAAAGTGTCCCTGACAGGGAAGCAGCTGTCATACAGGTGTATGCTACTGGCAGATTCAGCACAGTATTTATTTTAATCTCTTGTCCACAAGACAGAGGTCTGAAGTAAGACGCACTTATCCTTTCTTCCTGGAATCTACTAAATTCTTCAGTTTGACATCCAAAATAAAAATTACATCTAAAAGTCCAAATGGACTATAAGCTAATTGATTTTTTTGTTGTTTATTTCAGGCATATAGGAGGGCAGATTTTTTTTTAAGCTTCTCTTGAAATTACCCACCAACCTTTGTCTAGCTAATCTAATTGTCCCACTTCAGAGCTGATCATGTGAAATGAGATCAGAAGCTTCCTCGCCTGATCGTACTGACGCCCAGGCTTCACTCTCCAAGGTTGGATTTAATTTCACATCATCACCCCAGGGAAAGAGCCAATCACTGCAAAAGAGACAGTCAGGTAAGAATCATGTCAGATCTGACCTTTAACAATTAATCCCTTCTTATTTTTAGGAGCCATAAGAAGTGTGTGATCAAGCTAACCTACTTTGTCAGAGAGTGTAAAGGGATGATAGTGCCATTTCTCTGAGAAATGACTTACTTTGAAAGGTGCAGCAAGTTGTGCTGAAATAGTAGGGGAACACAACCACTAGTCATTTTCTATTTTTCTATTTAAAGCAGGGGTTTACAGCAATCAAAGTTTGGATGAAAAGAAACAGCCTGACAGAGTGGATAATGCTTGGTCAGGGTCATCTGAACACTCCGAGGTGTCTCAACAGGCAACATTCAAACAATGTTTGCCAAGAAAGATATTCAAAACGAATGGTGAGGACTAGAGATCAAAAGGAGACTTATGTGGGTGGTAATAAGACTAAAACGAAGGAAAAACCGAACATAAAGAAAAACAAAGAAAATCTGTTCTGATATTGTATAGAACTGTATGTTTATGTAGTATTACTGCTGTCAAAAACACAAAACAAAAAACAGAATAGAAAAAGTAAAGTAAATATCTTAATAATATCCAACATCCTGACTAAGAAGCATTTGGTAATAACAAAGACATGCTGGTTCCACCCTGCTTCCAAAGAGCCAATGAACAGCCAAACCTCAAAAGATATTGTGTTGTTGCATTGACATATGCACAGATTAGACTGTTTACGATAGTTTTAACTATGTTGTGGGAGATATATCGACGTGCTATATTGGTAAAAATTTAGGTAAGAGTACTTGGCTCATCTACAAATAGAAATTTAATCGGGTTTTCCATCAAGATTAAGCTCGTAACAAGAGCACTCAGAGAACTCCCCCTCAACAGTGTGACCTTGACCTTGACCCGATTTTTAAACTAAATTAAATCAGCTCAAGCTGTTATTGGTATATACCATCACACAAAATTAGCACATGATATCTTGAACACTGTGGACACTGAACTGATTACATATTTCCTCCCTTTGGGAGGGGGGGGGGGGGGGGATTAGAGTCTGTGGGGCCAATATATCTGTTGATATCAGCTATTTAACAGTATTATAACGGTATCTGCATTTATAACGGACAATAAATGAAAATTTGAAAAGTAAAGAAGAGATAGCAGAAACACCCTTCAACCATGTTTCAAATTATTGATTTGCATAATTTGTCCACAAGAGGGCAGTCTGCTACATCCCTGATGGCAGCACACATAATTACCTACACATAACAAATGTTAGGGAAAAACAGTTTATGTTTCTTGTTTCTGAAAGAAAAAAACACAAGAAATAAACCATTTAGATTGGATTTTAACATCACCAAATATTAGTATTGCTATAAAAAATCTTATATTGGTCAGGCTCTAGACAGAAACAGCAAAATAACTACCCTTTTATCTGGAGGGGTTGCTAAGATGGCAGCAAATTGCTGAGTTGCACTTACAGAGGTTTAGTCATTCATTTATATGCCAAATGTTTAGTAGACACATAAAAATTAATAATATATAACTTAATAAAGGAAATAATCAATAAAGTAGCCCTAGTAGTATTTTTAAACAGACGCTACATGTGCTTCGTTAATGTAACCTTTTAAGAGATGGGATATCTAACTGTAAAGTGATGTAGCCATAAATGCTAGCTAGACACTCTTTAGCGGTGGCAACTGAGAACACTCTTATATCCCTAAAACATACCAAAGCCCCTGCTAGGAAGTAAACTGTTATCATGGGGGGTGAACCTCTTATCTGTGTCATATAATTACACCCGATCCTAAGAGCATGAGAAACTCAAGCACAGCAGAAATAAATTGCTTTGGAATAACTACTATTGAAAACTGTAGCTGAAGTCAGAGGCGGTGCACACACTGTAAATTTAGGCTACTTTGACAATCCTTAACAATGTGACTCTGACATATTTAAAACTGCCTTAGTTTGCTCATGCATTACATCAACATGCAGCATGACTTAGTTTACACTGAGCTCAGTAGTCACGCTTTGAGGACAATGCCAATGATATGAAAGGACGGAAGGGCAGATGGTCAGCAGGTAGGAAGAGCCACACAGCATGTTCTGACTACTGCTTTTCTGCATAGGATCACTACTAAACACTAAATCCTTTTAATACCATTTCAAGGTAAAATTTGCATTAGAAATGAGCCTTTCTGCAGATCCTCATGGCTGAACCAGGCATTGCTTCTGCAGATCTGTGGCCTTTCTGGGGCAGAAAATTGCACCGCGGCTTTTGTTCTGCAGAAATGAAGCCTCTCTGTGAAGGACTAGTATAATAACGTGGCTCCAACAACACAGAAATATATTCTATTTCAATGTTACTGTAATGAAATCGATTAGCCATTATTTTATAGCTGATGCTTGCTGGCTAAAGTCCACTGTCCTGTTTCAGAAAGGCAGCACTTTAAATGACACTCAAACTAATAAACTCATACATTAGTGTATATGTTAGGAATTTTTTTGTTCTGTAATTTTTTGCTCTGTAATTTTTTTTTGCGATGTTGAAAGAAGACTTTGTCTCCTCTTTGTCCTGTACAAACAGTGGTCAGACAGGGTGACCTGATAAAGCAGGATAGAGATGTAAAGTAAAGCACCACAGTACTAGACTTTATGGATTACTGATGCTTACCAAGGCCAGCTGGCTGAAGCATTATCTTGGTCAGTCTGGTTAATTGAACGAGAGTCAGAGGGACTGGGGTGTCTTGAGTGAAAGTCATGGGCTTGACCTCTGATTACCATGTATGTAACCCATTATTCTGGTATCTGTGCACACCGGCTGTGCTGGGCAATTTATCTTTAACCGCATGTATTTGTTTAGGGGAGATGATAAGCTACCTGGTTCCTACTGGTCATAAGCTTTGTGGAAACGTTTTCCATGGCACCAGCAAGGTGTTGCTACCAAAATAAAGTCAAAATACAAATGGCTGTGACAGATGAGCGCATGAGCAGGGAGCCTGAGTGGCTGAATTTCCATTTATTACCATTTTGTGCTGGCAAACTGCAATTGTATGGCCATTTGCATGGCCAAGAGGAACAAGTGGTCAATGTTTTTCAAGGCTGTGTAGAGAGGGCTTCATTGTAGAGGGGAACTAGGAAAATGTTCAGTTTCCAGTGAGTAATGGAAAACGAGTGAGGCTTTTAGTTAAGGTTTTATCAGAATGTTCTCTATTCCTAAAAAACCAAACCGAGACGTCAAGTATGACATCACCATTATGTTCCTTTTTGCAAAATCTTCCTTTGCATCTTCCAGTGGGGATCAAGAGCAGGGCTAGACCTTGTAGCCTAATTCGTATTTAATACCCTGGAGGCTCTGATGCTTATGAAATTGTCTTTGGCATAAGCTATGGATCCTTCAGTTCAATATCATCAAATGCCATTAGCAATAAGGATGGGCTCAGCAGAGGCTATACCCGGACTAAGCTACTGTTCGGAGGCAATGCAAGAAGCATTTCACAGAGTCAGCACATAGGTGTGTCCCATATCATAATAGCCTTAGCTAAACCAGAATGACCTGAATAGCCCTGCTCGTGGTATGGGACTGGCCACTTGTTATCCGTGATCCCTTTCATAACTGGATGTATTTTCTATGTTTTTATAACCACTTAATTGAAAACAGACAGGAGAAAGTTTCAGTAGATTTGATCGATCTTGACCCCTGCACTCAGTAAATGGATTTGTTTTCGTGTTGAAGTGAACCTGTCCTCTACCTAGTTAGCTACAAGGACTCAGGCAAGTCAACTAATTATAGTGCAGCTGGCAGCCGGAGATGAACACTGCTGTTGAGATAAATATGATGATTAACAGGACGTCCAGTCCCACTCCATTTAGTGAAACCAACACAAAGTGCACCTACTGCAAATGGAGCCAAGTTAAAATCTTACTTGAGCACTTGAAAACATAAGAGCTCAATGATTCAGCAAACTTGCCCTTGTATCACAGATCAGTTGAAAAAGCTCTGTTATGCAGAGGATGTCTGTAAAATCTACCAAGCACTAAATCCTTTTAATATTAGCTCGAGGTAGAATTTACATTAGTGTCAGAGAGTGGGGATTTCTAGCTGACAAAGTCTTGCAGTAAGGACATGTCTGAGATTAAGACCCCATTATTTTCTCATCAGGAAGGGCTGGACTGATGTTCCATTTTAGAAAACACCCACTTCCCCTTGATCTACAGCCAGACGCATGACACCACTCTAGCCTTTTCCATGCAGGCAGTAACGTCCACTGCTTGGCTGCCACCGGCCGAGCGTCTATTGCAAGGCTAAATGTAGACAGACAGCGGTAAGCTGAAGACACGTCAACCGTGCCCCATCTCACTCAGAGGTTAATTATGAACTGTGCCTTATTAGAACTGCGAACTTCCAGCTCATTTGAGCCATCGGCTATTTGTGTCCACAACACCGGCCCGTGCTCTTAACAAACAACCTTTGCCTTGGGAAATTTGCGCAAGAGTCACGAGGAAAAACTTACACAAAGTGAACAGCGACAGGACAGATGCCACACAACAGGAAAGTTTTTCTCGAGGCAGTGAAAAATATACAGCCCATGTGGCAAAAAAGGAGCTCTTGACATTTGTACTGAGGAAGGGGCAAGTCAACCGCTGTGATAATGCCTCTCCCGCAGGAGCTGAAAAAGAGAAAGTCCATTAACGGGGCTGGAAACTGCAATGAGGACAGTTGCTGCGTGGCTGCAAGCTCCCAGTGCTCCTACGCATTTATCCCACTCTGTCTGCATTTTCTTTCCTTTTCCTTGTTTTTAAGCATTACACTCTTTTCTCTCACACAGATAAAACATTCCCTCTGGTCCCTCCCCACCCAGACTGGTATGCAGCGCACTGCAGCAAAACTCCTGAAAAGAAAAAGGAAAAAAGCCAGCCAATCTGTCGGCTCTTTCCCACCTCCTTTCACCGGGGGTCCCGTAGCTCTGTGTCTGTCTGTCTGTCTGCTGTCCCAAACGCAGGACGCTCCCGGTGCTTCTGTGACGCGGAGCTACAGCGCAGCTCTCCCCTCAGCCTCAGCGACAGGAGTTAATGACCATGTGTTCTGCTGTCATTCCTCGCGAGCTCTTGACTGCTTCTGCCGGAGGTCCATGCCTAGACAGGGATTTTTCTATCAGTATCTCTCTCTCTCTCTCTCTTTCCCAAGCTGCCGAGCAAGCGAGCGAGGCAGGCAGGCAGGCAGGCGGGCAAGCAGGCAGGCAGGAAGCAAAGAGTGTCTACTCCAACTATCTGGCTGAAACACTTCCAGCCAACCCCTCCAACACCCCTAAAGCCAGCCCCTTCCTGCCCACCAGCCTGTGGCAAAGACCTGCCCCTTACCATGTTCAGCCAATGAAACAGCAGCTACTGCAAATCTGTGTCTCTCCATTGGAAGAGCACAGACTAAGTGATGGGGTGAAAACTGCTTTACAGTATAACAACCCCTGAATGCTGATCTGAAAAGGTATTTCCCCAATTTCACACCCTGCTTAACCAACTATCACAATATTTATTTCTTGTCTATTCTGATGATAATATTCAAAATGAAATCATCATTAACTGAACTGCATTTAATAGAATATAGATAAATATACATGTTTGATGCAATTAAAGTGTAGCTGCAGATCCATGCTGAATATCACGTCCATCGCCATCATCACCCCAGGTAACAGGATCACTACATTTCTTCCCTCGCCCCCTCTCTCCTCTACCTCCCATCAGCATCTGTCCTCTGAACTCATTTGCGACATCAACCAGACAGTCAGACAACTCTCTCCTCTGCTCTTAATCACCTAATTCTATCCCCCGCCCCACCTTGTCTCTTTATCCCTACCTGCATGTTTTTCTACATTTCTATAAGCTATCTTTCAAGCTCTATTTCAATCCAATTCCTGAGTTCGCTGGACTGGAAAATTACACAGTAATGAACATTTCTGTTATTGTTATTGCATCAGAATTAGCTTCGAGAAAAGGGAAAGGGGAAAAATAACATGACGGCGGCTGGTATTGGAAGGTCCCTTCCACCCAGCTGATGACATGCTGGCTGGCATCATATGAGCCGTGAAACTGGAGCGTCACAGAACTGATGAGTCAGAGATCCAGCTTCATGACTTTTCGATCCAGATTCAATAGAACAGCTGTACTGTCTGTCTCTCTCTCTCTTTCGCTTGCTGTCCATCCATCTCTCCCTCTCTCTCTCCCTCTCTCTCTCCCTCTCTCTCTCCCTCACATACAAAGGTTGTGGATGACGCGGCAGCCTGGGTGTTTCGTTGACATCAATGAGGATAAAAATGCTTTACAGTTCCACAAGAAACAAACCTATCAGCTGTGTGATTAGGCTTTGACAGTTGATGCTCCACAAGCGAAACATTTGTCAAAATGTTGTGAGAAGATAGAGGCTCGGGGTGATTAATCCCATTCGGCATGAAAAAGTGTCTACTTCAGCAAATGATGCCGAACACTGACGTCATCTTAGGGATCAGGGCACCTGTAGGTAAATGACACAGACAAGTGCTCTGCCGCTGCATGAGGCACGGGCTGGGAGGCGGGGCTATGTCATCCTTTGTTGAAAGAAAAAGTGCCACCTTACACCATCAGTGAAAGTAGTTTCACTACTACCGTGTACACAATACCAAGCGATCATTTTAATGATCCTAGACGGTGAACATTAGTTATGACCTGAATATTGAATGTAAAAAGCAAAAAGCAACTTCCACGGATGAATGAAGCTTATCAATCTCTAATTTGCCTGCAGCCAACTTCTCAATAACCCTCACTGAATAACTGTCAATAACTGCATAACAAGCCATGCTCACTGCTAATTTCCACTGGCAGACCTCAGATAGCCTACCTCCTAAATAGATTTGTCCGACAGGAAAACAAACAAAAGCCTGGCAGCCAAACAAGCCGAGCTACTTCCTTCCCGCATGGTATCCCCTCCCCTCTTATTATCCCTGTCCTGTTTGACCCCAAACAGCTTGGCTCACTCACACACAACCAGATTTAGGATTCTGCGGCCCAAAGCAGCTTCATATTCAAATATAATAGGGGAATAATCTGAAACAATGGCTAATAGCAGAAAATGAAAACAGTGATGGGTTAAGACTGTGTTTGAAATACTCTCCCTCAGCACAGAACACTGTCTGTGTTTTTTCTGTTAGTTACATGCGACAGAGAGAGACAGAGGGAAAAAAAGGGCTCAGAAATAGGGCAGTGAAGACAGATCAATGAAAAGGCAGCTGTCCTTTTCTATTATTAGCTGTAATCAAATATCAAGCAGGAAAGAGTTGTGCTTCCTTCCATTTGAAGCCCATTCTGATAAGTCTGTCAAATGCAGAGTCTGCATTAAAATATAGAAGAGCTTAATGGATGCAAGGGTCAACCAGGGCTTTTTTAAAAATAAAATACACACCAACAAAGCCATTCAAGTATATTTCATTCTCACTGAACTCATACTTTCTGGAAACTAATCTAACATTTGTTTTATCCTTTTCAACATTATTGAGCAAATGTTACATTCCTTATTATACAAAGCTCATTTTCCACCAATTACACTGTGCTGTTGAATGTCATGTCTTACTTGAGCTTTAATAACCACGACATATTCCATCCAAATGGCAAACCAAGGTCTGGTTTCCATATGAAAATAAAGACACTGGTGCAATGCTCTTCTGTGCTGCTGCTTTGCATGTTCACAGGGATTAATAATTGTAAATAACCGATCAGAAGGTATTAACCTTAAATGTGTAAAGGCTCTAATTTGAAAAAGCTGCAATGGCTAAAAGTTTGTCTCCACTCATGCCTCATCAGTCCTTTACTTTCCCTTTAAATCGAACAATCCATTAATCCAAGTAGCAGCTAATTTATCTCAAAATGCAGAAGTTCATTGAATACTGAAAAAAACGCACCGTTAATGACAGCTCAACAAACTCACCTGCAGAATTAATAATAAATGAGTTGTTATTAAATCTATTCCCAGTGGGCTTCGTTAGGTCATTTCCCACTTCATAATGCAACATAAAGCACTGGACTGAACACTTTTCGGATACACAGGGAGCACGAAGGTGCAGCATCTGTGGATTTGAGTTATATTATATTATATTTTACTTACGAGCTTTCAGCTGTTTTTATTAGCTATTTGGGCACAGATTGGCGGCTAGCCCTACAAAACAGCCTTTCGTGAATTATTTTTATGATGGTGGAGTAATATTAGCCACCTCTGCTGTTCCAAGAAGTCACTACATTTACCATAACGCCACACCGTGTGAAGTAGCATCAGAGTCGAGGTGTGCTAACACTACCTGCTAAGCTAACTACCTGATGCTTACCTGATGACGAACCTGTCACATCCAGCTGCACTTCAGCCGCTACCAACGGTTTCCCGAGAGCGCTGTTTCGGTTGATATGGGACTCACGGTTCGGCACAGGACGGCAGAAACGTTCTTCGACTAACACTTGCCTCTATTTGCGTTCCGCAGCAAACTTTTTCGCTTTCAAAACAGATGTCAGTGAAAGTAAGCTATCAGTCGCTACACGCTAGCTCGCTAACTACTTTTAAGGCTAGGGCAGGAAGCAACAAGCGATTTTGACAGTTCGAGGAAATGTTGAGTGTGCTTCCCTCAGGGGGGGTTACTACTATGGTGTAAACGTTAATAGAGTATTTATTATCAAATGTTTGAGCCACTGTAGATGCTACTGAAAGAAAAACACTTTTCGGTTAGAGTGAAATGTTACATGTAGTCCGTTTTACCATTGAATTCTACTTCTATTCGATAGAGAAGATAGCCCCGTCACCCTATCAGTAAATATGGTACATTCCAGAGTGAGCAAGGGAAGGGGTGGGGGTGGCTGTTACCTAGGAAACAACAGTGAATCTCCCTCGGGTAAAAAATGTGACCACTGATTTATGAACCAGTGCCTGTCTGTCTGTCTGTCAAAGTAGCCTCCAATCGACAGGATAAAAACATTGAAGGCATTTGATAAAGCATATTACACTTTATCCTTCAAGATGCTCTGGTTAATCCAGATAAGTTCTAACACTTTTTGACTCCAATAACCAATCATTTCTCAGGTAAATATCATTTTTATTAACCGTATTTTAGGGGGTATTTGTGCAAGAGTGATTTCAGAAACATTAACCTTTCCTAAAGTAATATTTGGATTATAGATATATATGCTGCATGGTGGTGTATGAATTTGTTATAGGCTAATGTTGTTGATGTTTCAGATCAGCTGAGAGAAATTATCCTGCTAAAATGATCATAATTCAGCCCATCGTCACTGCTTCATGTGCAGCAGAGCCTGCGCATTTTGCAGCGTAATTGCATACAGCTGGCTGGCTTTAGCACTTTGTGACACACAGGGACCCGTTGTCAGCAAGGAGCGCAACGAGTCAACAAGGAGCAAGTCACAAATATCCCCGGAATGAGCAGAGAGGCACAAATTTAGCCCCACTGACTGCTGCCCACGCCATGTGCTGCCTATTGAGCACATGAACAATGAACATAGCCAGATCGCAGACTGCCATGTCAGGGCCGAGGCCTGCTTCAGTGGAATGCTACTTTGGATAAAGGCATCACAGTTTGTCAGGAAGCAGCAGCGTGATTAGATGAAGATTTTGTTGGTGGGCTGTGGTTTGATGACAACTGTAATAGTCAGAAACTCAAACAGTTGAGTGTTGAGTGTGTATAATTATGGGATCAAGTTAATATTTGTTATAATAATCTGACCTGGGTCAGACTGGTAACTGCACATACTTTTGGATTGGATTACCTCGTGTCAGATATTGGTCACACAGTTCAGCATGTGACATTTAATACCCATCACACTGCTGACATCTTCATATTTACAAAACATGATCTCAGAAGGGCAGCAGTAAAGGTCTCAAACAACACCAGGAGATTTCTCTTCTCCCTGCTCCTGTTCTTGTCAGCATTTTATCAAGAAAAAAAATAATCACCATGATCTTGCATGCTCATGTAGGATGTTATAACAAGCAGAAAAGTAAACTACATCAAATCACAGCACCACAATGGCGAGAATCTAATGATTATGAAAAAACGCTCACATAGGTCAAGCTCAACCCCATCACCCCCTGAAGACCTAACATATCGATCCCAATGCAGAGGAGGCATTTGTAAAAAGAATTGAAGAAATCCTGCTGCCGGCATCCTTTTCTAAAAGTCCCTGAACGCCCACACTCTTCAAACACACTCATTGGGGCTCGCACTCATAAAAACGCACGAGTAAAAACAGAACAGGCTTCAAAAATATCAGTTTAACAAGACGCTTTCTTTATGTGACATGTTTGAAATGAAGTTGGAGGTTGAAAATGATGGAGGCGTAGCACTGATGCGCTTCAGTCATTTTCTCCTGCGTTATCCAAGACAGAGTCATTTAAAGTCTGCACACTTGTATGAGCGTGAACAGCATTTTGGGTATAATTTGTGGGAAAAAAAAGAAAAAAGAAGAAGAATCTGCTCGGGAAACAGGTGGCTCCTTGTCGCCGGAGACACGGATTCATCAGAATTCAAAATAAATTATTTTCCTATGAGTCATAAATAAAGAGATGAATGCGCTCATATGTATGCATTCAAGAACATAATGTATTTGAAATATACACGTATACACACACACGCACGCGAGCAAAATAAAAAACAAAAAAACAAAACAAAAATGACCCAAAGCAGATGCCTGTGTGTGTGTGTGTGTGTGTGTGTGTGTGTGTGTGTGT